TGAGGATGGCAGCTAAACACACAACACGCATCATTGAGAAAACAGAGGGAGGGTTTACACGACTCCCCAACACGACTCGTTGAGAAAACAGAGGGAGGTGCGGGGGGGTGGAGCACATTCCTCAATTCACCCCACAGCCTATGCTACACCAGAATGAGAGAGGACAGAGAAGAGGAGACACAGACTCTAGAAGGATTAAAGTTTTAAGACTCACAAGTTTAAGACTAGGCTACAGCTTTGGAGTGATAATGATGGCAAGTTTGTAAGACAAAGCAATAGCAAAGTAATTTGGAACACTCTCTTATTTTGCTGCATGCTGTTGAAGGTAATTTGTAATGCTGTTTAATTTTTACTCACCGTTATACCATTTTACTGCTTTACTGTCATTATTTCAATTTATTCTTCACTTGTTTACTGATGGTAAGTTTGTCACACAAAGCTTTAGCAAAGATTTTGAAGGTAATTAAAAATGCTGTTTAATTTTAACTCACTGTTATACTATTTTACTGTAATTATTTCATCTTATTCTTTAGTTCTTAAATGATGGTAAGTTTGTCACACAAAGCTTTAGCAAAGATTTTACAAAGTTTAATTTTGGAACTCACTCTTATTTTGCTGCATGCTGTTGAAGGTAATTTTTACTCACCGTTATACCATTTTACTGCTTTGCTGTCATTATTTCAATGTATTCTTCACTTGTTTAATAATAATAAAGACTGACTTGATTCCAAAGAAACCTCCTACTGATCCTTTGCTGGCCCCGGAGATTCCTCCTTTTACTTATAACTCACTGCTATACTTTTTTAATGATAAATTTATTGTCACAAACACCTCCTAGTTAATTCATTCAAGTTGTATTACTTAATAAAGTCTTTAAATCAATGAAAAACACACAATGGAAGGATGTACGCAACCCTCTTATCAGTTACATACAGACATATTTCCGGTTGGGGTGGGACAGGATGCACCCCCTCTTATCAGTTACATACAGACATCCGGTGGGGGTGGGACAGGATGAACCCCCTCTTATCAGTTACATACAGCCATATTTCCGGTTGGGGCGGGACAGGATGCACCCCCTCTTATCAGTTACATACAGCCATATTTCCGGTGGGGGTGGGACAGGATGAACCCCCTCTTATCAGTTACCTACAGCCATATTTCCGGTGGGGGTGGGACAGGATGCACCCCCTCTTATCAGTTACATACAGACATCCGGTGGGGGTGGTGGGACCGGAAATAGCTGTCAAAAATGAGTTTGATGGAATGTATTTGATACTTCTCTCTCATATGATATAACCTTGCACTTGGTCTATACGCCATATGGCAGGATCTGGCCCAATAATAACATAAAATGTTGTTTTCCTATTGTTACTGACAATTTAGAGTAATTTCCTGGAAAACGATTTTAAAATGTTGACGATCATCCTGCACTGGGGGGCCTGTATTAATTTAGTGTCCAATGACAAGCTTAGTTAATTTTTATGGCGCTGCTGAAAAATAGTGTTTCTGTGACAGGCACCACTGATTACTGTACAAAAGCACAACTTTATAAACTGATTTTACATCAGACATATTTGCTGGAAAATATTTGCTGGTTTTCTCTCTGATGTTTCCTGGTGCGCTGCCTCAACTCTGTTATTTACGAGTTCCCTACTGGACATAAGTTATAGCTTTGCTTGTTGCTGTAGCAAGTTAGCTAACTGCTGCTAACTAGCTGCCATTATCTAATTAGCTCAGTTAGCCTGCAGCTACTGGTCAAACTAGCTTACTCTGCCTGTCCTGGGAGCTCGGCACACCAGAGTGTGTGTTTAGGTTTATATCTTTACTCAAGCACTGGAGGTCTTCAGGCCAGGGGTGCGACGAAACTGCATTCAGCAGCCTCCAAGTGAACACGGCATAAACAGGACCAAACACAGCCTCATTAGTTGACTCAGCCCCGGGGTGACAAGAGACAAACCGGCAATAAAACCACCTTCGTACTGTATTCCCAGTAGTCAGACAGGCCTCCGTCGGTCTCGGGGCTGTGTGCGGTCTAGGGTCCGGCTGCGAGCTGGATTTGGTCCGCACAGAGTCTGCATGACGGGGTGGGCCATAAGCACATTCAACTATTGGCTACACGCCGATCAATATCTGCAACAGATCCCTCCCTAGCTTTGTGTTTTTACAGGAAACAGACATGTAAATAGCAAATAGCACTACATTTTCTGTTTCACAGAAATTTTCTGCTTCAAGTAATCCCTGTGATCAATCCCCGTTTTTACAAAATGTACCTGTAATCTGATTACGTCTTTATTTTCTGTACTGTAACGGAATACAGTTACTTTGTTTTTGTATCCTGATTACGAAACGGCATTACATGTAATCCGTTACTCCCCAACCCTGCCTGCGACCAGACTTCTGCCTCTCCAGAACCACAGTCGACATCCTCCGCCCTCCACTTGCTGGGGTCTGGCTGGGGTCAAGATCTAGAAGTCCTTGTGTCCCTGTTTTGACTGACAAGTGCAACATCTTACCGTGTCGTCTGAAGAACGTTTGGCATCTCACGTTCCACAGTCAGTGATATCGTCCACAGGGTTGCAACAAAATAATTAAGCTTAAAAACAGGCTCATCTGCTTTCCACCACCTCATGAGCTGGATACAACTGGTGCTGGCTTTGCTCGTCTGGCTGGATCTGCAGCATTCGCCAGGGTTGTGGGCATCATCAATGTCACATCAGAGTCAAGCACCCAAGTGCAGATACTCAGTGCTATTATAACTGGAAATTGTTTCATTCTGTCCAGATGCAAGCAGTGTGTGATCACCACTTACAGTTCCTGGACATATTTGTTGGCTGCAGGCTCAGTCCATGATTCAAGAGTTTTGAAAACAGCCCTTTGTATGTGCGTTCACTGTTCACCTGAAGGCTATTGTATTCTGGGGGATGGTGGATACCCGTGCATGTCACAGCCCATCACACCATACAGTGAGCCAGTGAGGAGTGCAGTTGCCGCGAGGATTAACAGTCACCATGCTAAGGCCTCCTTCTGTGGTTGAAAGGGCTTTTGGCATAATGAAGACCAGGTGGCGGTCCATATTTTTCAAGGCTCTAGAAGTGATTGAGCCTGTGGAAGAAGTACTGGGGCCAGAAGACGAAGGTGGTCAGCTTCAGCAAGACCAGCACTGTGGGGAGCAGCTGCGTCGGCACATTAATGATGGGGCAGTGGATAAGACGCCTACCTTTGGTGTGAGAGACTTGGGTTCAATTCCCCACTGTGACACATCTACCATTGCGTCCCTGAGCAGGACACTTAACCCCTAGTTGCTCCAGAGGCGT